ACACACGCACACACGCACACACGCACACGCGCACACGCGCACACACGCACACACGCACACGCACACACGCGCACACGCACACACGCACCATTCACGCACACACGCACACACGCACACACGCACACACGCGCACACGCACACACGCACACACGCACACACGCACACACGCACGCACGCACACACGTACACACGCACACACGCACACACGCACACACGCACACACGCACACACGCACACACGCACACACGCACACACGCACACACGCACACACGCACACACGCACACACGCACACACGCACACACGCACACACGCACACACGCACACACGCACACACGCACACACGCACACACGCACACACGCACACACGCACACGCACACGCACACACACACAGACAGAGACACCATTCATCGTCGCCCCCCCAGAGAATATGGGAAAATATGGGAGGTGGGGGGGAAGACAGAGACCCAGAAAACATGGGAAATTATGGGGAATCTGTTTTATTTTTGTGTATTTATTTGTGTGTCCTGGGGCCCCCCACAAATGGGATTGGACCTCCCCCATCGGGCGGCGCGGGCCGCCGATCACGTGCGGGACGGAGGCGACCGTGCGGCGCTTTCCTGAGGATCCCGGAGCGGGACTGGAGGAAGGGGATCTGCTCTATATTATATGATGGGCCTGATTTCCACCAACACCACCAGATAAGTTGAAGGGGGGAAGGAGGCGGAGGATGAGGAGGAGGAGGGAGAAGAGGAGGAGGAGTAAGTGGAGGAGCAGGAGGAGGAGGAGGTGGAGTGGTGGAAAACAGGCCCACCATTATACGCCACCGCCGGGGCTGGGATGCCCGTGGGGACCCAGAGGTGGGTGGCTAGGGGGCGGCGGGGGCAGAGCGGGGCCGTAGACTTCGAGCAGGGGGGTCTCGGCGAGGATGTGGGGAGCCCGAGGACGCTAAGGGTGACGGCCTCCTTGTGGGCCTCAGCTTCTTCCGGTGGCAGGAACTGCCCCCGTTGGACGAGACCTTGGAGACATGTTTCCGCACCGTGCCTGAGATGCCTCAGGAGGCCAGGGCGGGTGTGGAAATCACGAAGGCATCTGATATAGCAGACTCCTCCTGGCCCAGCTAGAGAGACGGCGAGATTCGTGGACGGATGGGATTTCGTCCGGTGCGACCTCCACGCCCCCGGCGTGTGGGCGACAGGGACGCGTTGTCCGTAGCAAGCGGTAAGCGACCGACGGGCCTGCAGCGAGCCCAGTCCGTGGCGGCGGCAGCTCGGCCGCCTGGCACGGTGACCACGGGCAGGCTTGGGCGACATTGGTCCGCCCACCACCGCTCGTGGGCGGACAAGGCCGCGCTGAGCAGACGCCCGTAGTTCTGGGGCGATTCACGGGGGATCTGGATCGCTCCGCTGGGCCTCCTAGGTGCCTCCGCTGCCTCCCCTCAGAAAGATCGGACCAGAGGGTGCCACGCCGCGGCGGCGAAGAGCAGGCGGGAGGTCCCCCAAGGAGTGCAGCCGCGTGCGCTCCGTGGGGGAGCGGCAACGGAGCCCGAGGGAGCGCTTTGAAGGGGCCAGGGGGCCGAGGGCAACATGACACTGTTGCCTCCGAGACGCCACCTCGCTGTCTGGCGTCACGTTTAAGTCGGGCGTGTCCCTCTACAGGGGGATTATCGACGAAAAATAAAAGATACCCCCAAAATGGTCGACAAATACTCCCGAAATTTTATGGGCAATTTTTTGGGGGTATTTTTGTTGCTTTGTTGGGGTATGTTTGTTGGATGTTTGTTCTTGGAAAATCCCCTTGTAGGGGGACGCGCCCGACTTAACGTGAAGTCGGGCGTGTCCCTCTACAGGGGGAAAATCCCAACGGAGGCAAACCAAAAAGCATGGGGATTGTGTTTTGAGTGTGCTTGAGTCCTGCTTGTTCATGTGTTGCAGATGGTTACCTTCGTCTAGAATTGGCCTGTAGGAGGACCTGCCCGACCTAAGTCTAGCGTGCCTGAACGATGCATCGCGCTGTCCACATATTCGTATGTTGACACAAGGTTGGTAGTTTGCTTGTGCCTTGGCGGCAGTGCGGGGCCGGGCGGGCAGCGGACAAAGGGTCATCTCGTGCAGTGACCGATCCAGGGGCCGGACATCGCCCAAAGCGGCCGCTCTACCTGGAGTGAAGTGCCGAAGTGGATTGCAACCTTCTCTCCATCATGGCTGCGTATGAAATATCCACAGCGCGCCCGATCAGTTCCCCAAGACGATTATCGAACACTGCTACACACAGCGCCAGCATGTCATCCACGAAGGCAACCTCTGCGGCCTCCATCGCCCTGTGTTCCTCAGGCGGGGAGAAAAGCCGTTCGGGGGGGTCGTCGAGTGGGAACAAATTCAAGCGTTTTCCAGGCCCCCCTAATCCTGGCCAGGAGCGGGGCAAGCACAATATTGAACACCCAGTCAGCCAGGGCCCCCTTCCCGGACGCGTCCTGGAACGAGTGCGGTCAGTCTTGTTGTTCCCCGCCACTTGAACCATGGGTGCGCGTGTGCCTCGGACGCCATGGCCACCAGATGCTTGTCTTGGGTCAGGGAGTCCAAGATGCTGGGCTGGGCCAGGGCATCCTCGAACGCAGGAAGCCACGGCCAGGATATGTTTGCGGTGTCCAATGCCTCTGCCAAATCCTCGGGCTCTGTGGGGAGGGGCATAACAACATCGCGCACTACCGAATAAAATGCTGTTCTGATTCTGGTGAAAACCAGAATGGCCGACACTTCCATGCTGGGCGAGCAGGAAAGAGGTCCGGGCCATGTGCGAAGCCATAGTAGCAGAACGACCTTCGGGCCTGCCGCACTGCGTCTCTCCAAAGAAGGAGGAGGTGATAGCGAGAGAAATTGACTCCTGAGGAGTATGTTGCGATGTTGTCCACGACGAGGTTTTGCCGAGAGCAG